CCTTTCTCTGGTCATCACAAAGCAGGATTTTTATAAGCATGCTTATATTCCAAACATGACAGTAAAATAAGCCTTTTAAAGAAAGGTACCTGCTGGTAGACTTCTTGTATTCTTCTACCATTTTAGCCAGTGGAGAATCCCATGCAAACTTTGAGTTTGTATTATACAAGAACTCAGAATTTGCCATGAGAGTTTAGAATTATCCCCAGGAAGCCAGTCCCACTGAGTCAACAGGACAGGTTTTATCAAACATTTGGGATCTCTTACCTAATCAAAGGTGGGCACAAATCTTGCAGCCAGTCAGCATCAGAAGGCCTCACATGAGGTATACCATCTTTATTGCCAAATTGTTGAAATAAAAAAGAAACCACGGCCCAAAGGAACATGCCAACTCATAAATATAGAATTAGCTATTTTTACTACTGAGAAAATGCATGCAGACAGAGCCCACAAGTGACTACAGAACTATAATGAATTTTCTTCTCTATTTATATGGAATTAAAACTTCAGTTCTTAAACATCATCCTACTTATTTTAGTAAATACTCAACAGACAGTTCATTTGCACCAGGGGCTACAGCATGCTTGCTCTGACGTCCTGTTTGTATAATTCTTTGTCAGAACCTCCTACAAGTATCCTGTCCAGCACGCGTGGTGACGCATGTCCTTGAACACGCCTCAGGAAGGGGAGATAAGTTCAGTCTCCTAAGCTCTCCTAGTCTGTACAAGTCCCATCTCCAGTTCGGAACCACCTGTCAGTTATCTGCTTCGGCTTTCAGTATTTTAGGGGACGATTCTGGGCCTTGGTAGCAGGGCAACAGCAACCATTCCAAGGATTTCATGGTTAGCCCTCATTGCCTTGGTCTGATCGGGAGAAGATGGGCTGGAAAAGTGTCACAGACTCAGGAGACCTGCTGTGCATATCCACACTCGCCTGCCTCTCCTCGGCCCACGTGAGCTCCTAGTCTGGGTCAAGCATGACAGCCAGTTGCTAATTGCGTGAAATCTGGTTTCATACTCGTGTGGGGTGTTACTGTACCTGGCTATGGATTACTCTGTTTCAGAGAAAGCACGCCATCAACTTGACAAAGCCCCGCCAAACTGTTCTCCCGGGTAGTTATACCAGTTTACACTCCCACCTGTAGTGTCTGAGTGTGTCTGAGCTCCTTTCACACATCCTTGGCAACATCGGGTGTTTGCAGACTTTATTTTTTCCAATCTGACGGGTGTGAAGTGGCGTCTCATTTTTGGTTTTAATTTGCATGTCTTCACTATTGAGCATCTTTTCATATGTTCGTTGGTCATTTGGGTTTCTTCTTCTGTGAATTCACTGTTCATATCTTTTGCCTTAAAAAAAAAAAAAATGGTTACCCTTCTCAGTGGGTAGGAATACTTTATATAGTCTTAGCACCAGCCTCGTCTTTGGTCCTACACGTTGCAAATACCTTCTCCCAATCTGTGGCATTTTTTGTTTATTCTTTTGCGTAAAGCTTTTGTGTACTCAGATCTGTCCATCTTTTCCTTGACAGCACATGGTAGTGTGTCTTCTGTAGTATTTCCCCAGCAGGGTGCCTGGGTGGCTCAGTCAGTCAAACCTCTGACTCTGGGTTCCAACTCGTCCTGCTCTCAGGTTATGGGCTCGAGCCCCATTTGGGGCTCTGTGCTCAGCACAGTCTGCTGAAGATCCTCTCTTCCTCTCCCTCTACACCTTCCTCCCCCCACCGCTTGCACATGTGCACATGCTCTAAAATGAAATGTTTTAAAAAAAAAGTGTTTCCCATCCTAATGTGTGTGTCCTGTAATTTCTTTTTAAAGCTTTACAGTATTTTTCATGTTTAAATCTTTGTTCTAATTCATTTTTGTGTAGGGTAGGAGATAAAAATATAGTTGTTTTCCATGTAAATAATAGTTGCCCTAGGACCATGGTAAATGGTCCAGCTTCATTAATTTCTAATGTCACTTATACACGTGTATTACCTTCAGCTCACTCTTCTGTTACTTTTTTTTTTTTTAATTTTTGCCTGTATCAATATAACCTTGATTGGATCTCTGTATTTTTATACTACGTTTTGATAGCTAATGGGACAGTTCCTCCTCTTTTCTTCAGCCATTCTTTGCGTATTGTTTTCCCATTCTAATTTTATGATGAGCCTCTCAGGTTCCCTAAAAATCCCTTTTAAGGACTTTTATACAGTGGACTTACAGATTAATCTAAGAATTGCTGGCTTCATAAATAGAGTCTCGCCATCCATGAAAATAGTATGTTTTTGTTCCTTTCATTCGAGTCCTCACTTACGCCCTTCAATACAGGCTTTCCATTTTGGTTTGCTACATAAAGCTCTTGTCTATTTTTCCCCTCTTTAGATTTTAGTTTTTGTTACTTTAACAAATGGGATTTTTTTTTAAGATTTATTTATTAGAGAGAGCGAGCACGAGAAATTTTATTTGTTTATTTATTTATTAGAGAGAGAGAGAGAGAGGGAGAAAGAGAATCCTGATGCAGTCTCCCTGCTGAGCACAAATCCCAACACGGGGTTTGATCCTAGGACCCTACTATCATCACCTGGACTGAAATCAAGAGTGCAGCTTAACTGACTGAGCCACCCAGGTACCCCTACAAATGGGACTTTTTAGTTCAAATTTTTAGTTGGTTTGCTAGTGTAGAGCAATACAAATTTTTGAACTAGAACCTTGTATCTTCAGGGTAATAACATTGTCCAAGAATATTGTCCATATGATACAGTTTCTTGCTGTCTATGGAAATCTGTTCTAGGGCCTAGTACATAGCCAATTTCCTAAATCTTCCACATGTATTTGAAATGATTTCTCGTCTTGTGCAGGGCTTTGTCTATGTCCATTAGGTCAATCTTGTAATTGATCTGTATTATTACTACATTTTCTGCTTCATCATTCAATTAATGATTTCTTTCTACTCATTGAGTCATCTTTTGCATTACTCATGTGGAGACTCAGTTCTCAATTATTAAAGCATCCTTGTGAATTCTCTTTTTACTATGTCTTGATAGCTTTTTTGTCCTTCTAATGTTTTTCCATTTTAAAATATATCCATAGAGCTTTCCAAGTTTACTTTAGTGTAGCTATAAATGATAGAAAACTTGACTACAGTTTCTTAAATCGAAGTAGGTATTTTTTTCTCAAAGCACAAGGTCAGAGGTAGGCATGGGCCCAACCGCTTGCTCTTTGTCTGTGTATCACCCATACCGTGTCACCCCTCATCTCTTGTGGGCTTTCTCCCTGTGAGGTATTGTTGGATGGGGGAGGGTTGGGGGGCAAGGAGAGGGCAGTAACAGCCCTAACCGTCAGCATCACATGGGATAATACCTGTTTCAGCCTCCAGAGAATCTCTGTCCCATGATTGTAAACGATTTGCTGTTGCCACACATTTTGTGAACATTCTTTGCAGAAATAGAAGATCTTATCTTGTGGTGAGTCAGATGTGACCATTTCCCTTCCCAAGCGAAGTCACAGGGAGAAAGTGCGGATGCAGTGCTCTCTTTAGAGCCAGAAGCAGTTAAATGCTCAAGCCTCAGGAAACCACATGTCATTAACAACGAGCAAGGCACAATACACTTAGATTTCAGAGCATTAATACAAAATAAAAATATGGTCCGTTGCAGGGAATGTTTGTGGTTAGGAATAATAAATTTATTCTCTCAAGAGCTGATACCAGTGTTTTCTAGAGTTTTTCAGAAGGCCAGTTTCAGTATTTGCTATGAAACTCTGCATCACTGTGTGTCGTCTGCTGGGGCATTGGCAGGACATCCAGTCGACCGACTTGACCTAGGAGCTCAGACCTCAAACTTGCCCTGCCCTGGTTCTTGCCTCTGAAACTTCCCCAGCATCTGAGTCCACCTGTCTCCTTGCCCCGGACCACCCTATGGAACACAAACCATCTCGTGGTTTGCATTTGCAGGCCTCAGGATGTACAAAGCAAGTTGGTCTATCTCTGTTTTGTCCTTAAAATGATTATTTAGATGGTTCTAGTACTTCCCAGGGTTTAGTAGAATGTGTTAATATACCTAATATTTGATTTGTGCTAAACACTAACAGAGCATTTACTTACCTTACTCAGCCCTCCTCGGCCCAGAGAAGTGAAGAAGATCTGTCTCCATTATGGAACTCCAGCTGAAAAAAAATATAAAAACAGTTGTTACATTCAGAGGAGGAGACTATTTCTTTTAAAACCATTAGAATCGGTGTTAATTTTGTAATTATTCGGTTCAAGTGCACAGGCAGAGCCTGGTGCTAGATAATTGAGTGACCACACTTTCATCTGAGCGTTTTCTCATAGGCACTAAGACTGCGTAATCCAATTTTGAGTGCCCTTTTGTCATCATTAATCCTTGTCCGACACGATACTGTTAAAACCAGGTGTCTTTTTTTTTTTTTTTAAGATTTTTATTTATTTGACAGAGATCACAAGTAGGCAGAGAGGCAGGCAGAGAGAGAGGAAGGGAAGCAGGCTCCCTGCTGAACAGAGCCCAACATGGGGCTCGATCCCAGGACCCTGGGATCATGACCTGAGCTGAAGGCAGAGGCTTTAACCCACTGAGCCCCCCCAGGTGCCCTCCAGGTGTCTTTTCATTAAAGGACATGGGAAGCGTTTCTTACAGGCAGTGTAAGCATTGTGAACATAAATTTCCATTCACAGGGGTTTTCCTAGGTGACTTCTTTTCACATCTGACAGTTCTGGCTGTGGTGGAGACCCCTTCCTTTTCTCCCCATCCTGATTAAACAGAGCTTGTATCTTCATACCAGTTAGCCTTTACAACTTGATCTGTTCTCCCCACAATGATGATCCCAGTTTTCCTCAGAGTCTCACCTTTCCAGGATCTCTCAGTGTTTCTCTGAGCTGTACAATTCCATCTTAAATTTGAAGTCCATTACTTTTGCAATTAAGTGGCCATTTCTGCTTACAGATTTGAATTGAGTTGAATTTAGATTTTGTGGTGTCTTACGTGTTCTAAAATCACCTTTCAGCCATGGAAACAAAGAAGTATTTTCCTGCCGGGGAATCAAGTTGGCAGTGGACTGGTTTTTGGAAAGAGGCCACAAAGATGTTACAGTTTTTGTTCCGGCATGGAGAAAAGAGCAGTCTCGACCCGATGCTCTCATCACAGGTAAGCCCTGTGAGCGGTCTGGTCGCGGCTTCGGACCTTCCCGGGCGGGCCATCGGACACGGTCAAGTGTTGCGCTGACGAAGATGTCCCTCTGCTTCCTTGGTCTGTGTGACCGCCCAGTTCCCCGCGGCGAGACCTCGGCATTGCTGGTCTTTACAAACTCACTGCTGATGATGAGAAAGCAGTAATAGCCTTGCTCCGTAAACCAGTGGTTTGGGGTTTTTGGTTTTCCTTTTGTGATTTGGAAGCTTTTTACTTCAGATTTTGTAAAGTTGTGACTTTGGGACATGCCTAGGAGTCAGGAGACCTTGATTAAAATTCTGAGCCACATTTGGACCTCTGCTCCTCATCTGCAGTATAAAATCAGTAACATAGTTCAAAACACACTGGCAGGCCCCTTGGGGGTCCGCTCTCTGGGGTCAAGTAGAAGGAAGGGACTCCGTCTCAATAAAGTGTCTCTATTTTGCGTTGTTTTGTCATTTTTAAACGTATGCATTTTAGGCAGAAACTGCTCATGATTTTTGCTGAACATTTTGATGAAGTTAACCGTTCCCTCCCCCTCTATCCACCTCCAACATTAACAGAAACGGAGGAACCTGCATGAGGAAAACTATACTTTTCAAATCAAAAACAGAGAGCACAGACCACAGACCTGAAGGGAAGATTAATCCTTAAGTCATTACTTGAGCTGGCATAAGGACGTGCTCGAGTCAGAACTGTGCAATCAGACTCTAGTCCGTGTTAACTGTCAAGGGAGGAAGGTGCCAGAATTCAACCAAGAGCACCAAGACCCTGGGTAACGCTCTGAAAAAACAGACACATTTAGATCCTCATCTTCCTCCGTGTAACGGCGCATTCCGCATGGTCGAAGAATCATCGGAAACCGTAGTCTTTGCATGGTTGGGGTAAACTTTACTAAAGTTAATATTTTTGGAAGAAATGACAAAGGAAAAGCTAAGTCTCGTTGCATGAAAATGTATACTTCTGTGTTTTGAGAAGTTTTCTTTAAAATGAGAACTTCCATTTGCCTAAGGGAGAAAAGAAACAAAGAATCCACATCCTTAACATCTAAAGAGCTCGTAGACACTGGGAAAGCAGGCTCTGGGCTCTCCCCGGTATATAAATGGTAACATGGTAGGAACAGGCAGCACAGAATGCAGGACCCAATAAGAGAAGCAAGTCACGAAATGACAAACTAAACAACTTACTTTTCACCCACCAAATCAGCAGAGATTGGAGAACTGGTAAGCCTCCGGGAGCTCCTCCTTCACTGCTGTGGAAACAGATTTTTACAACCTATCTAAAAAAACAGTTGAATCAAAATATTAATATTCTTAGATTTGCTGGTTCCCCTTCTAGGCATAATTCCTCAGAAAATAAGCAGAGTTACAGGCAAAGATTTAGGACCATAAAGACATTCAGTGCATTATTACTTGGAAAAAAAAAAAAAAACGGAAATGAACCATACATTCACTATAATGGTTTGAGTATTTAGAATATTTAGGCAGAATTTCTAATGAGCTGAGGAAGTGCTCTTTTCCATAAAAGTTTTATTGTGTTGCACGTACACACGTACACACATGCATATTTAAACAGAAGCAAGAACAGAAATACACAGAGAATGACTAGAAGGAAATATGCCAAGGTAGTCACAGTAATTGACTCTGTCGATTACTGACAGTGACTCTGTCACTCTTTATGAGGTTTTATGTTTCCCTCCTTCTGAGTATTTCCCCTTACTTTCCTAATTTTGCTCAAGGAACTTAGAGTACTTTAAAGTCAGGGGGGAAAATAAATCAAAAAGGAGAAAATATTTGAACATGTAAATGACTGGAAAGAAGGCAAAATGATCACGGGCATGACAGGTGTGTCTCAGTTTAATTTTTAACATAGCCGCGCACCAGGGCTCTGGACCACACCACTCGACCTGACCCTTGAACAACAGAGAAATGGACTTTTTACCATACAGTACTATAAACATTTTTGCTTACAATTTTCTTTGTAACATTTTCTCTCTAGAGGACTTTAAGATATAAAGGTATAAAATACACATAACATAGAAGATGTGGCTTCTACACGGTGGTTAAGTTGGGGGGGTCCAAAAGTAAAGGGGGTCAGCACCCTAACCCCTGCCTTGTTTAAGGGCTGCTCAAAGGTCTGGAGGTGTTTTCTCCCCCTGGGTAATACTTCCAGCTAAAACCTGGTAAACAGAGTAGTCCATTATTTTTCACTGTACAAAAAAGGAAGCTTGACCATATTTTCAGGCGCACCCCTGGAGTTTCTGAATAGCGCTTTTTTCCAGCAAGCTAACTAACGCCTATCTTACAAGCACGGAGCTCCAGGTCAGTGCTGTGCTGGGAAGGAGATTCGGTTCCGCTTAGTAGCCCTACTGAACCCGGATCTATGTCAGTTAGGATTACTGACCCTGACCGATGTCCTTTTTACCTCATTAGCTATCCTAGAAAAAGCAGATTAAGCAAGGTGATGTTGACCATTTTTCTCTGATCACTTCGTGGCCTATCATGTATGAGCAAACACTCCCGCGAATAAAGTAGCGTGGCTGCTTCCTGAACGCAGTGGCTAACCCGGAAGCCCTCAGAAGCGCCGTCTCTAAGTGCCCCACGCGTTCATTCTCCAGACACGACTCGCTCCTGCTCTGCTCCTGGGCAGAGCGCTAGTGGAAACAAACACTTTGAGGGCAGGTACCGCGTCTCATTGACCAGGGCAACACACAAAAATACTTACTTATGACAAATCCTGTAGCTAAGACGGAGCTTTGGGGTATGTCCTGGTCTTCTGTAACGAAGAGATCAACAATTCCGTCTGTTAAAGTGCAGCTGAACAGTGTTGAGAGCTTAGGAGACACTGTGCTCTGTGCTTGTCCCTGTCACAGCTCCCTGACTTCCAGCTTCCTGACTGCATCGGAGGCTCAATACGGTAGGACCGCCAGATAGAGAAAATGCCAGAACCTGAGATTTACCTATGATTTGCTGCTTCTAACACCCACATGTCCTCCAGTTCTACTCTGCTGCTTTTCTAAACCAAAGTTCTGGCCTTGATGAAATCATGTCGGGAACATCATGAAATCTCCATGCCAGCTTGGGAGCCAGCCGACCCCTAATCCCGCTTCTGTTCCCTCCCCGGGACCCTGGCTCACCCCCACCGCCCTGCGGGGTGATTACAACCCTTGCTTACCTAGTCTGCGTGCCTGTCCCGTGATGGACACCTTCCTGAGAAGAGGCTATTCTTAATGTTGGTGGCCATTGATATGTGACCCACTGTAGCATAGGCCCGCCACATCCAGTCCCTGAAGACAGAGGTTTTTTAAAAGTTAGCAATTCCAGTTAACAAACATGGAGAAGTAGCCTTTAAAAAAAAAAAAAAAAATCATGAGGCGCCTGGGTAGCTCAGTGGGTTAAGCCTCTGCCTTCTGCTCAAGTCATGATCTCAGGGTCCTGGGATCGAGCCCCGCATCGGGCACTCTGCTCAGCAGGGAGCCTGCTTCCCCCTCTCTGCCTACTTGTGATCTCTTGTCTGTCAAATAAATAAATAAAATCTTAAAAAAAAAAAAAAATCACGACCTCATGATCCTGGGCCAGAATGTACGATAGAAAGACAGGAGGTAGAAGAGCCAAAGCAAGAAGAAGGCAAGGTAGAGAGAGCATTTTTATCATTAATCAAAGTAGAAACCCCAGCCCCTTGGGGGAAAAAAAAAAGCCACTAAACAAGTCCGAGTACGTCCCGGGTGCTGTGAGCATTGCCCACAGAAGCCCGCAGAAGCCCGCAGGCGCGTCCCCCTAGCTCTCCTCACTCCGCAGGGGCCCCTTCCCGGCCAATCCCTTCTAAGCTCTTCCCGCAGCCCAGCCTCGGGGAGGACACTGCACTTGTTGCCACATGTGTCCCGGGAAAGGACACAAAACATGCACCGGTCACGTCTGTAACAGTTGTGACTTCCCTGCCTCCGTGACCCTTCCGCAACCTCAGGATCTTCCCCGGCCACCTCAGCGACTTCTGCTCCTGCTTCTTGAACTCTTCTCCCATCCCCTCCCCTCGTCAGAAAACAGGGCAGAATCAACGGGTTTGAGCCCCACACGGCTGTGTTGTCAGAATGGCTGGAAAACGTCACTGAGCAAGCTGATGTTTATTCTGTTAAAGTTTGAAACCCTGTTTAGTCACCTTGGGGGCTATTTTTAAAAGGCTTTATTACCGTAGTCCTCAAGGAAAAATACTGGGAGTTAAAAATGTGCTGTAAATCATATCCCTGGTGAAATGATGGCATCCATCCAGGCCGTCTCATAAAAGTCACGTTGTACACGCGTCGCCCTCCGTGTTCGGGATGTACTCACTCCTGACAGTCAGCCCCACTTGTCCTTGCAGATCAGGAAATCCTGCGGAAGTTGGAGAAGGAGAAAATCCTGGTGTTCACGCCGTCCCGACGCGTGCAGGGCCGACGCGTGGTGTGCTACGATGACCGGTTCATCGTGAAGCTGGCATTTGAGTCGGACGGGATCATCGTGTCCAATGACAACTACAGGGACCTGGCCAACGAGAAACCCGAGTGGAAGAAGTTCATAGATGAGCGACTGTTGATGTACTCCTTCGTCAACGACAAGTAAGTGAACCCGCTCCCGGACCCCGGGGTCCTGCCGCCCTGCACACGGAGCCATCCGGGCCGGCTGCGGCAGGAGCGCTCGCCCCGCCAGCCACGGACCAGACCCAAGACACGTCTCTTCCCATGGCTGACACGCCCTCTGCTCCTCCGTGGGAGGAAGGAAGCCGTGTAGGAGGGACGGGGCCTGCGGGGCAGGTCGCGCACACGGCCCGTCTGTCAGAACGGAGAGGGATGGTTCTGGAACAGATCAGCCCCCAAGACACTGCCTTTCCAAAGCTACCCAGAGCCTTAAATCTATTTTTAAATTATGTGATTTTTTTAAATCCTATGCCAGTGGTAAGACTCCAGCCACCATTAAGTTGGTAAATGGGCAGAGGACCATAAAAAGCCGTCTCCTGAGAGATAAGTGTATTCACAGATGAGGGGGCAGGTTCACTTGTTGGTAATCAAAAATGCAAACTAAATCTACAAAGAACCTTTCTTTCACCCATTTAATTCACAGAAATATTTTTGCATGTGCTTTGTGCTGTTAAAGATGGAAGGAAACTGTTCACACAGTTTGCCGTGGGTCAGCAGAAGCCTTGGAAATACACGTACCCTCTGCGGCCCATCATCTCCTTTCTGGGAGTGGATCTGAGAGGAAGACCAGATAGGGTCATTTCTGTGTGTTTTAGAATTGCAACAGTTCAGAGGCAGCTAAAGCTACAGCAGAGAAGTTGATTAAGCCACGCTGCACCTAGTAGAATATTCTCCGGCTCTTCGAGTAGGAGCATGAAGGCTCTTGAGGGACACGGACATTTATGTGTTAAAAAGACAAAACACAAAGTTGTATTTGTGTTTGGGAAATGTGTATGCATACAGAAACGACTAAAATGCAACACATAAATGAAAAACAATTGTATTCAGGTCCTAGGATTGAGTGACTCTTCTGTTCTTAATAATGCTGCCACGTTGACGCTCCCATAAGAGTTGGTCTAACGTTCACATTTTCTGGGTAACTGCTTGGCCCATTTCAGGTTCTACCACTGACCTCACAAGTAGCACAACTCTTCAGCTGTAACTCCCTCCTGTCGTGCTGTGCAGGCTGGGAACTCCTGTGTCCGGGAGATTTTGTCCATCTCTGCCGAGGCACCAAGAGAATGGGCTGGGGGGTTCGACGTGCAGTCTCAGCTGTGCCGTGTGAGCTCAGATCAAAGTCCGCTAATTAGGAAAGTGTATTAATCTGCAAAAATTAATACCTGAAGGGCCCACTGTCCGGAAGACAGGCGAGGGGGTACGCACGGCCTCGGGCCTGGACCGGGGCTGGGCCGGTGTCCGTCCTCCCATCCGCTGCTCCTTGCTCACCCGGCCTCTGTACTGGACAGGATCGAGGCTCACAGCGCCCTCCTAAAATGGCCTGGTGCTGTTTTTTGAAGTCCTTACAGAATCCCGAGGCTGGCAGGAAGAAAGAATTCATGAGAGTATGCAAGGCTCAAAACTTACTTGAGTTAAAACCAATACAAGTTCGGCTTGACACGTTTCACTTTTGTGCTCATTAAGGAAATTCTGTGTACTGAGATTCTTTACCCCATAGACACTGAATCAAAATACTTGATGGAAAATGTTTTAGGGGCACCTGGGTGGCTCAGTGGGTTAAATCCTCTGCCTTCAGCTGAGGTCATGATCTCAGGATCCTGGGATCGAGCCCCGCATCGGGCTCTCTGCTCAGCAGGGAGCCTGCTTCCCTTCATCTCTCTCTCTGTCTGCCTCTCTGCCTGCTTGTGATCTCTGTCAAATAAATAAATAAAATCTTTAAAAAAATATATGTTTTGAAGTCCTTAGAGTGAATCAATCTCTACCTTCTGTCTTCAGAATTAAATTATCAACCTCCTACTCAGGGATCACTTTTCATTCTATCCCTGACAGGTTCATGCCTCCTGATGACCCTCTTGGCAGACACGGCCCCAGCCTGGATAATTTTCTGAGGAAGAAACCTATCGTTCCTGAACACAAAAAGCAGCCTTGTCCATACGGTAACTTTCCTTAGAACTATTTAATATACGCCTTCAGAGCACAGTCTGTTGTTAAACTTTTGTTACTAAAAATAAACGTGTTATGTTTTGGATGGCATAGTATGTGGTTCTTTGGATTGTGATTAAATTTAAGAAAACATCTTAGCCGTGAAAAAAAGTTATTATTTTTACCTAGTCAAGTTCAACGCAGAATCATTTCCCAAAGTTAAAACGTGGTTCCAAAAACTCCGCTAGTCCAGGCAGGTCAAAATGTGGAGTTCTGACCTCGAGCCACACCTCAGACGGGCAGGGGCAAGCGCGTCACTGCGGTGCGCGTGGCTCTCCAGAACAGAAGGTCCCACTTTCGAAGCCAGACGGGAAGAGGATGGGCAGGGAGGAGATGAGGGCTCAGGGCATTAACCCAACCCTCGGGAGGTGACTCAGTCACCCGGCCAGTGTGTCGGTCGCTCTAAAGAGGACCGAAGCGGGGACGACGGAGAGGGGGCAGGTCTCCCGAGGAAGGGACAGGAACAACTTAGTGTCCCTTCCATTTCCACCTTCGTCTCCCGAGTTACAGCAGTTGTGCCAGACTGGGCGCTCCTTTGCCTAATCGATGTTCCTCTCCGTAGGGAAGAAGTGCACCTACGGCCACAAGTGCAAATACTACCATCCCGAGCGGGGCAGCCAGCCGCAGCGGTCGGTGGCCGACGAGCTTCGGGCCATGTCTAGAAACACCACGGCCAAAACGGCCAACGAGGGAGGGCTGGTGAAGAGCAACAGTGTGCCCTGCAGCACGAAAGCGGACAGCACTGCCGACGTCAAGCGGGGTGCTCCAAAGAGGCAGTCGGACCCCAGCATAAGGACCCAAGTCTACCAAGACCTCGAGGAAAAGCTTCCCACCAAAAACAAATTGGAAACCAGGTCTGTACCTTCTTTAGTCAGTATCCCGGCTACTTCCACCGCAAAACCCCAAAGCGCTCCGTCTCTAAGCAATGGCCTTCCATCTGGAGTTCACTTCCCACCTCAGGATCAAAGACCACAGGGACAATATCCTCCGCTGATGATGGCAACCAAAAATCACGGAACGCCGATGCCTTACGAACAGTATCCCAAGTGCGACTCGCCCGTCGACATCGGATACTACTCCATGTTGAACGCGTACTCCAACCTGAGCATCTCAGGCCCACGCAGTCCCGAAAGGCGTTTCTCCCTGGACACAGATTACAGGATCAGCTCCGTCGCCTCTGACTGCAGTAGCGAAGGGAGCATGAGCTGTGGGAGCAGTGACTCCTACGTGGGGTACAACGACCGGTCCTACGTCAGCTCTCCCGACCCTCAGCTGGAAGAGAGTCTCAAGTGTCAACACATGCACCCGCACAGCCGCCTTAACTCCCAGCCCTTCCTGCAGACTTTCCACGACCCCCTAGCTAGAGTGCAAAGTTACAGTCACGAAGAACCAAAGTACCATCACAAGCCTCCTCTGCCCCACCTGGCCGTGCACCTGCAGCACCCCGCCGCGGGCGCGCGCTCCAGCTGCCCCGGCGACTACCCCTCCCCGCCCGGCTCCGCGCACTCCAAGGCGCCGCACCTGGGCCGCTCGCTGGTGGCCACGCGGCTGGACAGCATCTCGGACTCGCGGCTGTACGACAGCTCTCCCTCCCGACCGAGGAAGCCTTACTCCCACCAGGACGGGCTGGCGAGCTGGGAGCGGCAGAGCTACGGCCTGGACGCCTACGGCTACCGGCAGACCTACTCCCTGCCCGACAACCCCACGCAGCCGGGCTACGAGCAGTTCCCCTTCCAGAGCCTCCCCGAGCCGCCGGAGCCCGCGTGGCGCGTCCCCTACTGCGCGGTGCCGCCGGACCCCCCGCGGTACCAGGACAACCGAGAGAAGATCTACATCAACCTGTGCAACATCTTCCCCCCGGACCTCGTGCGGACGGTCATGAAGCGGAACCCGCACGTGACAGACGCCCAGCAGCTGGCCGCCGCCATCCTCGTGGAGAAGTCGCAGCTGGGCTACTGAGAGACGATGCATCTTCGTGGTGTTTAGTAGTTTTTTGTTCAGCTCAAATGCTGAGGGAGGTTTGCTACAATAGCACACGTGATCTCCTTGGCGCAAGGAGGTTATAAAGTATCCATTTATGTGAACTACTGTATCATGGAATCTGGACGTAGAGCCCCCCCAGAGCGGAAGTAGCACGGGATCGCTTTACATCCAAACTTTTTTTTAAAACCTTTCCTTTTTAAAAGCTCTCTCCTCGGCTGGAAGTTGTTCCAGTTTGATTTATTAGATGTCTCTGTGATCTTTGATATTAATCTTTGGTGCATCAGGGGTTTATATGCAGCACTTTTTATCCTTGTTTCGTGTTTTATTACCTTGGTGTTTGTCTATCAATTGCAAGCAATTACAATACTTTCCGAATGTCGGACCTTTGACTAGACCCTAGCCAACTATTTTTGCAAGCCAAGCTTAATTGGAATCTTTTACAGCTTTTTAAGTTATTTTTATTTGGGGAAGGTGGGCTTCTTTGTGCTATAATCATTATTTATAGAAACAAAGATATACTACAGCACTGACTTTATATTTTAAACAAAATGTAAGTTACCAGTTTATATGGAAATGGGTAACAGTCTATATTAGAATGATTTACAGTACGGCACTTTTCATTGTTTTGTTTTTGTTTGGATTTTTTTTTTCCCTCCCCGTTAGGTAATTAGTTAATTTAATATGGATGACTTAAAGGAAAGCAGATGCAATCAATGGAAAAAGTTGTTTCCATTTTTTTTTTTTTTTAAGAAGGCAAAAGCCGTAACTGTGCCAGTTTAGAGCTTTGTGACCCAGAGCTGATGTGCTTCTAGGCGGTAGAAAATGGAACTGAATTCCCAGATTCTCATGAACCTGTATTTTTAATGTGTTCGTCCTTTTTGTTTCGGGGCACAACAAGACTGGATAAAAGAACCCTTTCACAGTACTTGCCTGTTTTTAATGAATCTAATTATTCTCAATGCAACTTTTATATTTAATATACTCTTCGCTTTCCTGCTATTTATCAAGGCTGGCCTGAGGTGGGTGTACGTGTTGAGGATATGCAAAATTTATTGATACTGCACTATAGGAAGGGCGGTGGAGGCATTTTAAGTGGTAACTTAAAAATGTTTGTAAGATACTGTATATTTTCCATTTTCCTGAAGGTCGTTTTTTGGGGGGCCTGTTATATTATTAAGGCCAGATTCTTGCCACAAATAGTGTAGTTTTAGCTACAGACTAAAGTCTGTTCTAGTATTAGTAAGGGATATTTCTGGTTTCCAAGTGGGTTTTGCTAGGTGCGAATTCCTTTTTGTTCTCAGCAGACAGACCTTTGCATTGAGGGTAGAGGGTCGTGTACCTCACATGACTCCACTGTCGCCTCCAGGCTCTGAATTTCACTTTGCGCGACAGACTCCTAGTTTGCGTCTGGCGTCTGCCTCGATGCCCTGGGTACTCTGACCGTCCTCCATGCTACAGTTGGAAGTAAAGCCCTGAAAAAGCCAGAAAGTACCTTTTACTGTTGATACAAATTGTATCTTTTTAACTATAAGAACTATTTTGATTTGTAGATCTAGTGAAAACACAAATGTGTAACTATGATTAGACTTTTGGGCAACATTTTATCCCTTATTTAAGTACAAAATTTTAAAGTAAAATTGAGGTCTAGGATAGGGTAGAAACATAAAAGCAACAATTTAGGTAAATAAAAGTGTCTGTCTTCGTTTTATAGACTATATTAAAAATATTCACTACAGTTATTGGCATTTTCTTTCTCCTAAAACTTACCTAGTGAGAACTTAAAAATAAAGGTAAAATGCTGCCTGAAAATAACGTCCAGCGCCTTTGACTAGGATAACATTTTCACTACTTGTGTGACACTGTGTGTTGCATGAAGTAGGATTTGGGTATACAGTAAATGCTTCTAAAAGGCATTGTGCATATTGACATATCCAATAATCTGAACCGTGTTCAGCAAACTTAATTCAGGAAAGTGGTGTTCTACACAATTACTGGTGGTGGTGAGCGGAGTGTGGCCCTCCTCTGGACCCGGAAACAATGCAGACATTGCCACACGCCATCTGAGCGAGGTCTGGGGCGACCCTGCTTGCTTTGTCAAGCTCTTCTCCCTGATTCCGTCGGTCACTCTCCGTAGGACAAGTTTAAGTGTCGGAGTAAACGAGTGCCAAAAGTAGGGTTACAGATGTGGAGTACCTTCTTAGTCCTGTTCTAAACCTTTTCTTTTTTTTTTTTCTTCAGTATGAAATCCTTTTTAAATTGTAGGTTTCGCTCCCATTCTCGTCATGTTAGCATTTCTACTCTCTGAAGACTCTGCCAAACTTCACTAAACCTGTATCAGGGAGATCGCCCGTGACGTGCGGATCTTACTTTTAGTCTGAGCTCCTCGTGGGGTCAGCTCACTGTCTGTCGTCGCTCCGTGCATTCTGGACTATGGGGAGAGAGTGTAGCTCGCCACCACTGAGCAGTTGAGAGCTCACGCTGAAATCCTTCAGTATAGTGACCTGTGAGGGAAGAAAGAGCAGTTTTCTTAGGTCAAGCAGACAATGTGTCCCCCTCCCTTTTTTTTTTTTTTTTTAAATACCCGTGTTGCTTTCAGAGCTTAAGAATGAGATATTTGGCAGAGTTTTGATACAGCAAATTCTTAATTCTCTAAAGCAATAAGTAAAAGGATCCATCACTAAATTAAATCCATAGCTGACTCTGAACCTTCATTGTAGCCAAAACTTTAACCTTAATCCTATCTTCTACCAGATGTGCTAGTAGATAACTGGAGAGGGAGAGGTTAGCAGAGAAACTGCCCAGAGTGGTCAACTGATAGAAGAGAAAGAATTTGGATTGGAATATTCTGCCCCTGAACGCTGGACAGTTGACTGTCCTTTCCCCAGTAATTAGCCGGTTCACTGTCTCTGTGTCTCCGTACAGAGGGAGTAGCATGCAGCTGGCCAAATCCTGGCCCTCACGGTTTCCTCCCTGCGCGCGATACGTCCATTTTTCCGTCCGTTTATGACCTCTGTATCCTGATAGAGTTTGTCACTGACCTCAACATTTGAAAGAAACGCACGCCAGTATCCAGTGTGTGGTGATACTGGTAGAAACTTGAACTTTGTGCTTTTATGAAATTTCCTTTATGAGAATATGTAACATAACTTTAAAAAGAGCATTTTTATATGTATATATACATACATGCCTACATACTTGTCCTGAAGTATTACAAACGGGAGAGGGTGTCATGCCGTTGGTGGCTCACCTTCGTTCCCTCCGTTGGACTCTGTCTGACTTGTGGAGGACCAAGCCTGGAGTCTGGAGGACCAACCATAAGATTCTAGAACCACTTGAATGGAAAGCAACTCTTCAGTGGTTTTATTCCTGGTATTTTTAAAGAGTTATTTTGATAATTTTAATAGAATGTGTAATTTTAAAACACACAAAAAACTTAAAAGTAGTATTGATTATACAGATAATTATTTAACATGTCTTTTACGGTTGTATCTATGTATATGGACAGTAATATATTTATAAAACAAATATACTTTACGTTGTAGCTCTTAGTTTGTGATAGATTAGATAGGGCTCGAGATACGTATGTGTGTGTGCTTTGAGAACTCTCAAGCTGTCCCCTCTCCTCCCCGCCCCCCCCGGCCACCATTTAATGGCACTGGCCCTAAGGTAGATTTGTTTCTGTTCTCTTTTTTTAAGATTTCATTTATTTCTTTGACAGACAGAGATCACAAGCAGGCAGAGAGGCAGGCAGAGAGAGAGGGGGAAGCAGGCTCCCTGCCGAGCAGAGAGCCCGATGCGGGACCCGATCCCAGGACCCTGAGACCATGACCTGAGCCGAAGGCAGCGGCTTAACCCACTGAGCCCCCCAGGCGCCCTCTGTTCTCGTTTTTGCTCTCCGACTGCCTTACTCAAGATGAGCTTCCTAGGTCGACACCCACAAATAAAATGAAGAGTCAAATCCAGGAACTACACACGAGCGTTAGCGTCCGAGAAAGCAGAGCTGATCCGAGTTGGAGAAGCCGCGGTGTTTCCGATGGGCCTGGCCAGCTCCCTAGGGCCGGGACTGACCGGCTCTTCTCAGTCACAGATCAGGCAGGAACTAACCCAGGCCTGGGGAATCCTCTGGTTTCTCCAAGCTGCTCACCGCCGCTCGCACGGCCCGGAAGCCGCACAGACCAGAGTGTCCGTGAACAGGGTAGCTGCGCGGGCTGGGCTGGTGGGCGGGAGTTCGCGCGTCCCTGTCCCAGGGGGGACCCGGCGTGGCTCAGCCGGAAGTCCTGACCGTGTTAACACAAGAAATGAGAAGTGTTTCAGTTGACATTCAAACACCATGTTATTACTGATGGCCTTCAACAGGGGATTTCGAGATGGCCCTATTAAAGCCTCTTCATTTCCTTGTTTCTTCTGTCCTGTCCATTACTTATTAGAGATACTTCTCAGTGTTAAACCGCACACAAAAAAAGCATTCTGTCAACAGAGGTTTTAATAAGTATTGAAGTTTTTTCATGAACTTTGTATTTCTATTGATAAATGGGAATTACCTTACCTACATTTCATTTTTTAAGGGCCTCATGGACCAAAAATTCTGTTGTACTTTGACAATTAGCATGTAATTAGCCACAAAATATTTTAAAGACTGTGTTTGTCAGTTACGTCTTTCTGCTGGTTTTTTGACTTCTGAAAAATGACAGATGTGCCCTTCTTTAAAAATGGTTTTAAAGAAAAATATATTGTAATTTCACATACGATACCTTTATTCTGTAAGATTAAAAATTGTGACTAGTGTAATTGTAGCTAAAATGTGCATTTGCTGTATTGTGACTCTTAAGAAACCAAGCATATCCCTGCTTTCTCTGTCCAGACCTTTAGTATAGATCTTTTTAGACACCTTAGGACTGTCCTTGGTGAACGATATTGTTGACATGATCATGTGTGATTTTAAACATGATCATGATTTGACTTTAAACATGATTTGAAACTACAACTGCTGAGCGTGTTCATTCTCAGTGCTTTATAAATCGTGTTAACATTATAACATTTCCACAAGATCATTAAATAGTTTTGAATGTTACCATCCACTTCAGTTATACTTTCTTTTAAAATTGGAATACAACGCTAGCTTTTTAAGTGTTTACGGTTCAGAATGGTTATTTTTTTCTTTAAGTGCCATCTGATAACCTGCTCTTTATTTTGTCACAATAACGCTGTTATGTATTAGGAGTAGCTTTTTCCCTATGGTCCCTAGTCTGAAGATTTAAAAACAGTTTAAGGTTTTGACCCTTTGGCAGTTAAATTTTTTTTGAAAAGTCTGTCCATCTTTTAATTCAGTTTGATAAAATTTGTAAAACTTCACTTTTGAAACATGTACCAAGTTGGCCAACTGTCTATAATAGATATTTCAGATGAATAACTGTTGTCCATTAAAGCTTTCAATCCCTCTCTTACTTAAAGCATCCTGTCTCAAGGGAAGGAAAAAAAAAAAAACTGAAAAGCAATGGCTTGTTTTTTATACAGTGTATGTTTTACATCTTCTGTTTTTTGAAATTATATGTTTCCTACCTAACACAAAATACCCACAAACACGCAGATGTCCTCAGAGACATAAACCCATTGCTGCTAGCAAACCAGATGACTGATCTCATTGTTTCCTGTTAGATTGTCTCCCCCCTCCCCCCCCCAACCCTAATCCTATGCTGATGGAATTTCCAATTCGGTCCCTCCAACTTTTCTTAGAGGAAAATAAGGTAAAGAATGTTTAGAACAACCATCCAACAAACCGATGCAATTCTATTTATCCTCTGTTTGTGCTCTGTGTCTCTGTCATGGAATTTTTACAACTCCAAAAAGCAGTATTTTAGACTTACTGGAAATCCGTATCAGAACAGCGATGTGAATCTGCCACTGAGAAAAAAAAAAATTAAAAATGTCTTTTTTTTTTAAATGGTGGTTTGTTTTTGTGTCATGACAACACTGACCTCCTTGCAGCAGCACAGATTCTAAGTAATCAGGAACCCCTTTCTCTGGTCCCGCCGTTTGCCTAGAGGCCGTGGTTAGGAACACAGGATACACACATGTTCACTACCAATGGGTCAGAGCCATCATTAACTCATGGGAAAATTGGAATTAAAGGCCAAAGATATCTAGTCATTCCTCACTATTCTAATAATTTCCCACCAGTCATTAACATAAGCTTCTTAGGGCCTTCTGCATCATCTCGTGACCTGATGAGGTCTCTGTTGTATGTCTCTTGTTTGCGGCTCCTTCCCTGGCATGAATCAAGCTTAGGACCCCACTAATGCCTACTCTAAGTAGCGTCACTTCTCTTATTTGATACCCACTGGGAACTGAAAATAGTCTGTCATCTGTAGTCACAAATCCAAAATGGTGTCCGGATCTTCAGGATCTAGCATATTCATGTTCTAGGTCTATGTCTAAGAAACTTCTATTTCCAGATCAGGATTTTTTTTCCTCCGTTGTTTTTCAGTTTTTCATTTTGCTTCTTGGTTTTTTGGTTTTGATTCTGGTTTTTTTTACTACAATCACCATTTGTCAGGTGTTTTCTTTCCCCCTCCCTCTTCCCCGTAAGCTCTTTACCTGGGATCCAGAGTGAGGGGATTCCTCTCCTCACCGGCACCAGATCTAACTGTGGTGCCCCGCTGTAGCCGGCAGAGAAGGCAGTGGGTTCCAAGTCTGTGTGAGGCCGGAGGGGCGGGACAAGCTCCAGGGAGGCGTCCAAGGAGGCAGCCCCGTGGGCTAGTGCCCGTCCCTTAATCCTTCCCCGTGTAGTTCCTCCGTCTACAGAGCGAGGATTCACATCCTGATGAATCAAGTCATGCTGGGGAAAGGGAGAGTTGAGACGGCAACTCAAAGGTTGAGTTTATTTACAACAAAATACCTATCACAGGGTCTCTCACCAGTTCAACACCTATGAACATTTGTGCCTCAGCCGCAGATGTTGTTTTAAAAATGTTTTAGAGAAAGCAAGCAAGCAGGGAGAGAGGCAGAGGGTGAGGGAGAGAACCTTAAGCAGGCCCCACACCAGCACGGAGCCCAAGGCAGGGCTCAATCCCACGACCCTGAGATCATGCCCTGAGCCGAAATGGAGAATCAGATGCTTAACTGAGCCCCCCAGGCACTACCTGGCCTTAAGATTTTTTTAAAGCAACTTTTTAAAAACTGCATTCCTCTCTGT